GGAGTTTCGTTTCTAATTCACTTTCAACGATAAGGTTAAAGCAAGTAGAATAGACAATGAAATATTTTTTATTTTCTAGCTTCGTCTTTCCGCAGCGCCCACTCAACGAATCAGACTTGTATGAAAACGTCTCTGTTTCACACAAACATCACATGCTACCGAGACGACAACATATCGTATTAGCATGACACCTAACTGTTCTGTTTATAGTTCCTTAATCCTACACCAACTAGTATTATATTCACCATAAACTGTTGGCTGAGAATTAATTCCCATTCTTCCGAAAAACTTACAATCTCGATTAGCGACTCTTCGATTCCCCTTTGTATGCAGCACCTGCTGTTTTCTCCAAAATTACTTCAGATGTGCAACTTCATTTCTATTTGGCTTTTTCTTTGAATCCATTCTTACCGGAGCGATTGTGTACATGACAAAAATGACCAGTTCGAGCACAGTATAGCAAATGAGGTGGGGAGAATGTAGCTTTGTTTATGCTTTTTATCAGAATTTTAATCTAAGCATTTGATGGAATTGGTGTAGAGCATAACATTTCGTTTAGAAGTAGGCTTTCGAGAGTGTAAGTAGATCATTTATATGTGAAGTGTATTCACCCCATTTCGTTTATGGTGATAATTGGACTGGTAGTTGAATTTTTCCCACAATAATATGAGTAGACCCTACGTTTCCATTGAATTTCACAAAGCCTGCCTTCCCAAAATATATTCTTATTTAAGCAAAAGTGGACTGCAGTTTCGACCTCGCCTAAGTCTTATCAGCATACCCAGCGGGACTCGAACAATGACACTGCAGCGTATTATGTCGACACGTTGACCACTACACCACATCGCCACGAGTGCCCTTGGATCACAGGGCATATGTGAATTTCAGGGAAGGCCAGCAATTTTCTCATATCACATTTATTCGATGACGCAATGCTATATCAACCTAAATTGGGTAAATAAACATCATATAGAAACGATATAAACTATGCTAGTCTGAAAAACTTACTTATAAAAGAAACATGAGTAACGTATTCGATTGCTATAGCAAATAAAACAAAAATCCCATCACAGAATGTTATATGGTAAAATGTCTGGCCTACCTCCAAATTTATATCTGCCCTATGTTTCATGGTAACTCGTGGCAATGTGGTGTTGTCGTTAACGTATCGAGATTATACGCAACACTATCATGGTTCCAGTCCTGCTAGGGTCGTTGATGAGACCTAGGAGAGTTTAAAAGTTCAGCC